GTCCACATCTTCCCGAAGCGAATCATCCCGGGCTGCTCGGTTTAGTGGGGGTCTTCTTCTCCTCATTTCTCTACACCTGCATTTCACAAGGAAAAGTTGAGTAACGATTTATCGGTGGGTATTTCTCTAAGCATTATTGTGTAAGGGATGAGTTTGAGGAATGCGGCTCTGATACCAACTGTAACGACCCCGAAAATAAAAATGAAATGTATGTATTAAAAAGTTCTAAGTGCGGAAGCGAAATAAAAATTCTGATTAATATTCCCTACACAATAACTGAAACGTATTAAATGTATGAAAGAATAAACCAATTAAAGTAAATACTAGTAATGAATGCTATAAATAAATCTATGAAGTCCTTAGTCATCTACTCACCGTCTTCCTGCGGGACGGGCTCGAGAACCAAGTTCCCCTTATCTGAAATGGTTAAGTAAGGAATGAGGTATACTAGCCCAGTAAAGACATCACACTATCTCACTGCCGCAGGAGTAAAGGTTGGTAAAAAATAAAAATGACCAATGGAGCATAATTTATAACAAACTCATTTATCAATAATAAAAACATTTACTATCCACTTACCTCGGTGAGATTCATGAAGACAATTTATGAAACACAATAACATCATAAACATCATAAAATCATGCAGACTCTATAACATAACACATATCATACTCTCGTTTTTTAATCATCAGACAATAATTTTCCTCTTTTATCAGCCTACTAGTATCCATGGGGATCCATAGGGGGTCTCCGCTACACGTGAACCATTCACATTGATAACTTGATTCTAGGGCCATCCCCATACCTCATTCGGTATGGACGCCAAAAAAACATAAACCTTAATACCCCATCCGTTATGAGGGTGAAACGGGTCGTCCCCATACCCCGTCCGGTATGGGCGCCAAAACATATAAGGTCTTCATACCCCGTCCGATATGAGAGACCACGTTCCCAGTAGGGTTCCCTACGGACCCGGTCCGTTCACCATCTCCCAGGATATCTAGTTGGGCTGTCGACATTATCCATTTATCAATTCACATACCTTTTTCCATTTTTCTTGGTCTCATTATCT